AGGTGACTCATTACATATATAATCACGGATGGTCATTGGCATTGATGCGAGAGTTTACCAAACGAGATCTTGTTCGTCCTGCGGCAACAAGGTTTGGTACGGCCTATCTTACACTTGAAAGTATGCTAGGCGTAAAAGAGCGGTTGGAGGAAATGTGTGTTTCAAAGGAATGGAATGCACACCATTTATCCAAAACACAAGAGGCAAAAGCTGTGAAACAAATAATTCTGCGTGATAAATATTTCTGGCCGAGCGTGCAGTATTCAGTCCAAACAACAAAGCCATTATTTAAAGTGTTGAGAATGGCAGATTCAGAGATGGTACCCGGTATGGGGTTTCTATATGGTTGTATGGATCGAGCAAAGGAAGAAATTTCTGAGAATTTAGGGCAGGACTTTGGCTTTTATAATGAGATTTGGAAAATAATTGATAAGAGGTGGGAATTACAATTGCATCGGGATTTGCACGCTGCAGCATATTACCTCAATCCTCGCTTTCAGTATGATCCGGAAATGTCTACAAATGCAGAGGTGAAGGCAGGATTATTTAGATGTATGGCTAAGATTTTTCCAGATCCAAAGATCCAAGAAAAACTCCATTTGCAAATGGATGACTTTCGACTAAAGCGGGGATTCTTTGGACATGACGTTGCACAAAACACTGTGCATAAACGGAGTCCTGGTAAGTAAATTGCTCTTACCAAATATCTTACCAATATATATATATATATATATATATATATATATATATTAAATTCTTTTTTTTAATTTATAAATAATATAGTTGATTGGTGGACCCAATATGGAGATGAGACTCCTGAACTAATGACATGTGCGATCAGAATCTTAAATCTTACGTGTTCGTCATCTGCGTGTGAAAGAAATTGGAGCACATTTAATCAGGTATACATATCCACATACCTACATTTTGTTTTGTGATGCATCGACTTACACATATTTAATTTATAGATCCATATGAAGAAGAGAAATCGCTTGCATACCAAGAATTTGAATAAAATGGTTTACGTGATGAACAACAAAAGATTGAAAAGTAAATGGATGAAGAAAGCATCATTGAAAGTTGAGGAAGATCCGTTGGTGATGGATAAAATTCCTTCAGATGATGAGTGGGTTGTTCATGAAGATGATATGATTGTCGAGAGTGATGATGTTCATGGTGATGGTCCTGAAGTTCATACTCAAGGTGATACTGCTAGTGAAACAATCACCAACCCAAGTGGCCAAAGAAGAAATAAAGGACATCCTTCAAAAAGGCGTCGCCTTGGGAAAAGAAAAGCACTACAGCTTATTGATGAAGTTGAAGAAGATGAAGAAGATGATATTATTCTTCGAGATCCTATTAGAGATGATTTTTTCATCAATTCCGAGGAAGAGAATTAAGGAAATGCAACATCTTTTGATCATAATTTCAAGCCGTTAGACACTGATGAACTTTTTTTCAATTCTTCAATTTAAGCTCATCACTTCGAGCAAAATTATGTCTGATTCCATGTTAGACTTTGTTATGGTTGCGATGTATTGCTTTGACAATATACTCTTTTCATGTTTTTGGATTATTTATGTTATACATTATGTTCTATCTTTGGTTTTATATTATTTTGTGAATGTTTTTCAATTTAAAATTGAGGCTTACGCCCCAAAACGCCTCAAGGCTTACGCCTTACGCCTTGAAATGAAAACGCCTCAAAACCGCAATACGCCTTTTCGAACATTGACTACAATGAGATCTTCTCACCTGTGGTCAGACATACTTCCATCCGCGTGTTACTAGCGATAGTTGCACATCAGAACCTGGAGCTCGAGCAACTTGATGTGAAGACAGCTTTTCTACATGGAGAGTTAGAAGAAGAGATATACATGACTCAGTCGGATTGTTTCCAAGTTCCAGGGAAGGAAAGTCACGTTTGCAAGTTGAAGAAGTCCTTATACGGACTTAAGCAGTCCCCAAGGCAGTGGTACAAAAGATTTGACAGCTATATGGTGAAGTTGGGCTACACTCGGAGCCCATACGATTGTTGTGTCTACTACAATAGGCTCAAGGATGATTCATTCATCTACCTGGTGCTTTATGTAGATGATATGTTGATAGCTGCAAAGCAGAAGTATGACGCTTAGAAGCTGAAGGGTTTACTTAGTGCTGAGTTTGAGATGAAGGATTTGGGAGCCGCTCGGAAGAATTTAGGGATGGAGATCATTAGAGACAGAGAGAAAAGGAAACTTTTCTTGTCACAAAGAGGCTACATTCAGAAGGTCTTGACGAGGTTTGGCATGTCTTCATCTAAGCCTATTGACACCCCCAGTGCTGCCAATATCCATCTCACTGCCATGTTCGCTCCACAGTCAGAAGAAGAGAAGGAGTATATATCACGAGTCCCTTATGCTAGTGCTGTAGGAAGTTTGATGTATGCTATGGTCTGTACAAGGCCAGATTTAGCACATGCAGTAAGTGTAGTTAGCAGATTCATGGGACAACCAGGGAGAGAACACTGGCAGGCTGTGAAGAGGATTTTCCGGTACCTTAGAGGTACATCTGACGTTGGTCTCATTTATGGAGGTGATACTCAGATCAGTGTTAGGTTACAGGATATTCTGATTCTGACTATGCTGGATATGTTGACACGAGAAGATCGATGACTGGCTATGCATTTACTCTTGGAGGATCTGTTGTTAGTTGGAAGGCAACTTTGTAATCTACAGTAACTTTGTCAACTACGGAAGCAGAGTACATGGCCCTGACAGAAGCTGCAAAAGAGGGAATTTGGTTGAAAGGGCTGGTTAGTGATCTTGGTCTGCATCATGATAAAGCCACAGTGTATTGTGACAGTTTGAGCGTGATTTGTTTAGCCAAGGATCAAGTCCATCATGAAAGAACCAAGCATATTGACGTGAGGTATCATTTCTTGAGGAGTGAGAGGAGAACCCAAGTGAAGAAAGTAGGAACTGCTGATAATCCTGCTGATATGTTCACAAAGCCGGTTCCGCAAAGCAAGTTTCAACACTGTTTGGACTTGCTTAACATCAGAAGCTTTTAGTAGCCCTGCGGGGCAACTCTGAGGAAGAGGGGGAGGCCAGGCACAACCAAAGTGCGTCTGAATCTGAAGGATCTGTATGGAGAATTCAAGTCAAGGTGGAGATTTGTTGTAATGCCTTGAATCTGACTCGTTACAACATCCAGAAAAGTCCAACTTCTGAGAAATCTGGATTCTGGAGAAGTCGAGAAATCCGACTTCCGGAGAAGTCGAGAAATCCGACTTCCGGAGAAGTCAAGAAATCCGAATCTTAAGAGGTCCGAATCCTGAGATGTCCGAACCCCATTCTAATTGGGCTGTTTAATAATCTGTTATTTCTGCAGTTTTTGGGCCTAAGTCTGTTGGGGTTTCGCCAAGCACTATTTATATGGGTGCTACCACAAACCCTATGTGTGGTATTCTGTATTCTGTTTTTACCTCTCCATCAGAAATAAAACTGCCCCCCCTCTTCCCCGTGGACTAGCCAACACAACGTTGGTGAACCACGTTAAATCTGTTGTCGTATTTTTCTCGTTTATATTTTGTTATTCTCGATTTCCGCACAACAATATTAGATCACAATTCACATATTCATCCGTAACACAAGAGTTTTCCTATATTTTTTTCCTAGAACAAATTATTTTAAATCAAAATTGTTTCTAAGAAAAGATCGAAAGCAAAAAAGATTATTTCAGACCACGTACGTTTCTTTTCAAAATAAACTTAAATAATTTTTTCTAAAACGAAAGATAAAAGGCAAAAAGATTATTTTCTCAAACTTCGGGCAAAGTGAAACCAAGAACAATAAATCAGCTAAACACTGAGCTTCTTTCCACGATGAGCAAATCCGACGATCTAAAACGACTTCTTCCTTTCTTTAAATATTTCAATCTCTCTTTTGATCTACGTAAACTTTACTTTGTCGTCAACTCTTCGCAAATCTCAGTCGTTTCCCCTATATATCCTTGCCGGATATCTAGACTGGCTCTGCCCGGCCGCCACGTGCTTCGCCCTGTGGCATTCCAATTTATGGATTTTCTCGATCACTTGAAAAGACCTTATAATTTACATGTTGAATGCTCTAGGTTTGTAATAGTTGGATCTATTGTATGTTATTTTCAAACAACAAGGGTGATAATTACTCCATCCATTCCATATCAACTGTTCATCATGACTTTCTTGGTACATTAAGAAATGAATGAATGTAGACATAAAGTATGTCTATATTCATTCATTTCTCAATGTACCTAGAAAGTCATAATAAACAGTTAATATGGAAGGGTGGGAGTACATTACTAGATTTATTGCTTTTTTTGTTCATATTTTCGGGATTACCATTTGATAATTGAAATGACCATGCGTAAAAAAGGGCAAGGGGTCAGGCACACCGTACCAAAAACTTAAACCAAGCAACGCCCACCCATTGGCTCTGTGTACGTGAGACTTGTGTTCGCACACATTGAGTATGAATAAAATGTATGTTAAGTATCATTGTTACCAAAACAATGTGAATGATGGTTAAGTTGAAGCCATGATCTTATTATTCTCTTTGTTAAAGATCAAAACACATTAAAATCAATTTCCATTTTTTAGCCCCCCCCCCCCTTCTTTTCTTTATTTTTTTTGTAAAATTCCAACATCAATTAGAGGCAAATAGCACTAGAATTCACATTATGGACAACAAATCTAATTTTTCTATTTAGTAACGCAAAAATATATGAATTTAGAGTTGGTAGTGTCAAAATTGAATTGGAAAATTCAATTCCATCCAAATCAATTTCATAGAATTTCAACTGTCAATTCAATTCCAATTCTGTAAATTAGGTGAACCAAACGGAGTCTAAGTGTCTATTTGCTGCACAAATCTGCGGTATTGGAATTGAATATAGAGTTGAAATTTTATTAACTTAATTTAGATGAAATTGATTTTCCCAATTCCAATTCAATTTTACACTACCAATTCTAAATTTATATATTTTTATGCGACCAAATAATAGAATTAAAATTGTTATTATCAATTTTAATTTTATAATTTGAATCACGTATACAAAAAGAAGCCTAATAGTGTTTGATAATTGAAATGAAATACGGAGTATATGGCCCGGCCCAAAATCCATCCGGAAGGAAGGAGGTTATCTTGCGTCCTTCACATAAATAGCGCATCTTAATATGGATAGCATTTGGTCTTTTGTGGTTCACCTACCCTTGCTTAGGGTTGGACACGGTACCGGTTCGGTACCGTCACCGGAAACGGTACCGCCGGTACCGAGCACCGTGACGACTACCGGGACGGCCTAACGGTTCCGAAAACTGGCATCGGTACCGCCACATCCGGTCTCGGTTCCGGTGCCCCAAAATCGTTACCGGCACCACCGGTACCGGTGCCGGTTCCGGTACCGGTTATTTTTTTATTTTTTTTCTCCTTTTTGCTCTCCAACGGAAACCT